TATTAAAGATTGATAGTACCTCTTGGGTGATAGATACCAAGCAGCCAATAAAGATAGTGAAAGGAGAACACCAGATTAGGATGCTCTGTCTAGTTCAGAAAATTAGTTTAGCTTTAATCTCTTCATTCATATAAAATCACAATTTCGTAAAAACATAACAAAGACTCCGGCTGTTGAATAAATGTAATATACTTGATAGCTCCACATGGAAAGCAAGTGCCACAATGTAGATTGGGTTATGTTAGAAAAGTCTCAATTTTGCTGCTTTTATCAGAAAACATGAATCTAATGCCTACTAGTACAATTTTTCCTTATCAAGTATGAGTTCAATCTTTAGTAGCAGAACTGGCACTTCAGGTAAAACAACAACACCTTCTGGAATAAAGTTTTGCATTTCTTTTCAGTGAAAGAGAGGGGGTCGGGGAGGAATAAGAGACATGCAATGCTCTGAAAAACCCGCATAGCGTACTGTAGCGTACTGGAGTATGTCGTGTTTGTGGGTAGATAGGTAATATGGAGTAATTTTTGGTTTCCTTGAAAAGAATGAAACTGCAATTTGAAAAATGCCTGCCTCAGAATGATATAATGTTTTTATGATTTTATTCTTTGTGTTAAGCACTGTAAGATGATTTAACATTTGTCTTCTACAAACACTGTATTTTTTCCCTAGCAGTAAACTACACTGATAAATCTATCAATAAAGGCACATTATTAACCTAAAAATATAAAAACCTTTATCTTGTAGCTACAGAATTAAAATCCTGCTAGAATTTGAGGGGAAAAGGGAGAAAGTGAGGAAAAGAGGCATCTGTGGATGGTTACTCTTATGATCTTTTCACCTTCTGAACATCTGAACCTTATCTTCATATTAGGCAGCAATCTTCTAAATTTCAGATATAGCACTGGTGAAATGATTAAGTTTCTCATGAACAATTTTCTTTTTAAATTAAGAAGTTGGAATGTGGCCATTATGATCACGTCTGAGACAGCAGGATCTGAGAAAATACATTTTTCTTGTTTATAAAGTGCTAATTCTAAAATTAATAATGAGATATTTAATCTGGGATCCAATGGCTTGTAGGAAGGTAATACTTGAGCTACAAAGAATCTGAGGAATAATGTTATCTATTCTTATAGAACTTATATAATATTCTTAAAGAATCATGCATAATATATTTTCTTTGATTTTTAAGATAAGCTCTTCACTGTAGWTGCATTATTTTAAGTGTGTTTACTTTGGGATTTAGAAAGAGCAAGTTTAATATACGTCATTTCTATATAGATTCTTCAAATTGTGATTAGTAGAAAAAAAAGAAAGTTAAGTGAGCTCCAGCTTATCAGAATGCCATTTAATGTTCATAAAGAACTATATCCTAGGGAACTCACAGTTAACTTTCTCTATTCACTCCTACTTTCAAAGGTAGGCATTCATACTTCCTTAATATGAAAGGACTTAGAAAAACAATTACAAGGTTCCAAGAAAGGCTCATAGCATAGTCAAATATTTTCAATACAATGTAAAGTTAAAAGAACATGTAATATTTGTATTTAAAAGTCTCAGGCTCTTTTGGTTGGAAGGGATGAAAATCTACTCAAAATATTTCAAGTAAAAAGAGCTATTTATTGTAAGCCTACTGGGGACTTTCAGGTGAATAGAGGAGAACATGAACCATCAGACCTCAGGAGGACAGGAACAATGCCAGCTCTGTGGACTGGACCTGCTTTCATTTCCAGGTCCGGCCTCCTCTTTTTTCTTTTTGGCCCCAAAAGGCCTTCCTTAGTCCTGCTAAACTTGGGAGTACACACAGCCCAGTAATGGCCATCCCAGAAGTTTTTATACATACTTTTTCAAGTTCAAATACCCAAGGAAAAACTGACTTGAAGTTATGCAATTTCCTAACTGCCAATTCCTGAGAGAGAAACTTGATTGGCCCAGTTTAACTTTTCATACTGGACTATAAATCCTATATTATTGGTTGCTCTATAGATTGGTTCTTCTTGAATCAAATGTCCCCTCTTTTGAGTTTAATCAGCTATGACCAGTAAAGGAAGCATCACCTGGTGTAAAATACAGCTGCTTAAGCATGGGTACAATCCCTAGAACAACTGGTATTCAAAATCCTCTGGAAAAAAACAAAAACAAAACAAAAGGACACAAGAAAAGAAAAAGAGCTAAGGCAATAATGTCAAGTCAAAAAGAGAGGTGAAAGAGTAATAGGAAAGGAAGCTCATAGGGAAAACTCGGAATGTCTGGACTGTGCTGTAAACTGAAGATAAAGATAAAGATTTTATAGTAGCTGAGCCCCACAGAGAACAGCCAAATGACTCAAGAAACCATAATAATAAAGCAAGTACATGAGCCAGGCATCTCAAGATACTAAGTCCAGAGACACCAGATATATAGCAAAACATTCCTTTTTTGAAGAGTCTTGTGTGTAGTACATGGGCGATTATTTCATAAAGGTAACATAGGAAGGGCATTACGAATTTTTAGAACTTAATATATCTCACTTTTTCATGATTAAGTTCCCTAAGGACAGGATCTATTTCAATCTCATTCTCATGAGCACACATGCGTACTACTGATCCTGTGAAGGTAATCCATAAAAATGGTTGCCTTAGGCATTGGGACTGAGAGCCCAAGAGTATGTATCTGCTTCTGGAACACAATGACATGTCTCTTTTCCACTCTAAGATGAACTACACCAGCCTCTACACTAGCCCAAGAGAAAGGAAAAAAAAAAAAAAGGTTTTGGGGACAAAATCATAATAGTCATAGGAGAGCAATTCTGAACATTTCTGCTGCCATTTGGAAGGAACGAGCACTGTTTCTAAAGGAACATGACAGTTCTCTCAGGTGGCAGTCGTACTCCAAATGAGTGTTCCCAACCCTCATCTGGTAGTGAACCATATATGTGGTTGCTGGTGACTGAGAGTAAACAAAGCAATACACGCAGAGCATCTAGCACATTCTAGGCACTGAAGACACTCAATAAAAATTAACTTCTGTCTCATCAACTCAAAGATCAAGTAGATGCAATACTGTCAAGTGGGTAAACTGCATAAAGTCACAAGTTTCATTTTATTTTACTTGGGAGAATCAATTTGTGATATCTTGCTAATGATAATTCTAGTAAGTAAAGCTCTGCTTTAAATCATTCTAAATTTATTTTTTATTATATTCAATTAATATTGCTTTACTTAATAGGGCTCATTTGCTATGGGCAGAAAAAATAATATACTGTAAARAAGTAAAAAGCACCTTTATTAATTTGTGTGATATGAATACACAGGTACACTTTATAAAAGCCACAGCAGCAGGAGCAGACCTATTTTTTCCTCAAATTAAAATGGGACAATCTTACCCTGATGGGTATGCTCTGATTTTAAAACTGATAAGCACAAAGACCAAAAGTTTGTACTTGGAAATATCTCCARTCAAGCAGACTACACTTGTCTTAAATCAGGCAAGGCAATAACCTAAAAAACTTTCTCCCAACACTTAACAGTTTACAAAGAGCTCCTACATACATCATTTGAACTGATCCCCCTTATAAGCACTATGAATTGAATACGATCATCCCTGTTTTACCAGATGTCAAAACACATGCAATGAGATTAAACCACTTGCCCAAATTCGTTCAGCTAGTAACTGGTAGAKGTCAAACTAGAACCCCAGTTTGTCTGAATCCAAAACCAATGCTGTTTCTATTTTACTAAAATGTCTCTCAGGGAAAAAGATAAATTTTGGACTTTTTCTCTCCTGTTGTATTCCAATGGACAACTGACATATTGCCTTCACTATATTAACTAAATAGTAAAAAATTTTCTCAGTGGTATAAATGAACTTTTATCAAAACATCTCATTTAAATCCTCTAAATAAGAGTCTCCAATAAAGCCCAGAAATTGTACTTGTTAACAAAACAGGAATACAATACTTCTAAAATAACCCTCTATACTATTATATCTCAGTGGCCAAGGAGTAAAAGAATTAGGAAAGCAGAGATGAAATCCAAATGCTGTACAGTATCCTTATGACAAAGAACAATTTATAGTTAATGACAAAAGTGCTATTCAGTTCCAACAACTGGTTGGTTGGGAATTTAGATTATGGAAGTCTTAGCCTTAGAGCGCTTTTCTGTACATGGAATTTCTTCAAATTTCAGTTTGTTAATGTACTTACCTCCTTTTTTACACACAACACAAAAATTAAATTTTCTGAGGTTTGTCTATTCCTCCCATGTTCCCCCTCCCTACCCCACTATGAATCAGCCTCCTTATATCAGAGAAAACATTCGGCATTTGGTTTTTTGGGATTGGCTAACTTCACTTAGCATTATCTTCTCCAACTCCATCCATTTACTTGCAAATGCCATAATTTTATTCTCTTTTATTGCCGAGTAACATTCCATTTTATATATATATATATATATATATGCCATATTTTAAAAAAATCTATTCATCTGTTGAAGGGTAGGGGAAGGAATGGGGCAGGAGGTTGGAAATGATGGTGAAATGTGATGGACATTATCCAAAGTATATATAAAGACACGAATTGGTGTGAATATACTTTGTATACAACCAGAGATATAAAAAATTGTGCTCTATTTGTGTAATAAGAATTGTAATGCATTCTGTWGTCATATATAAWTTTTTTTAAATTAATAAAAAATTAAATTTTCTGTTATTAATATTCATTTCTATTTATTTCTGTTCAATTTCTGGAAGCAAAACTGCTCAGTAGTTCACCAATTCTTSTTGACCAATGATTAGAGTAATTTGTAGACAAAGAGGTTTCCTTATAAAGGCTTTTCCGGCTCAATTTGAATTTTGTAAGTGAAATCAAGTACCTCTGTTTTCTCCCTAATAGAGAGTGTAAGCTTTTACTATTCAAAACCAAATATACACATAATTTTCCTGTGGTCCCCCATATGGAAATCATAGGGCAGAAATGACTCACACATGGAATGTGAAAGACAGATTTAAAAACTGTACTTACTTAGGAGGAATTCGTGAAACTGTGTTCACATTTGTGGCTGGGGCCACTACTTGAAGGATGTGTTCAAGGGCTGTTAATCCACCAGCAACTTGAAATGCAATCTGATCTGCCACATTCTAGACAGAAATACAAATGAAGTCAGTCCAATTTCCCAGGGATGAAATTACAACCAAATGAAATATTTATTTGTAGTAGGGAATATTCTGTTAGTTTAATTACCCTACAAATATACGTTGAATGTTTTCTTAGAGCAAAGAAATACAAGTTAACTGTGGTGAAAATAAGAGGTATGGTTGCTGTCCCTCATGAAGCTTAAAATTTGGTGAATGGAATCAACATYAGTTACATAATTATAGATAACATTACTTTAAGTACTTGATGATAAAAGATTTTTAAATGAGATTAATGGAGGAAGCAATTATATTTTGGGGAAAGGGTCAGGAAAGGTTTCTATATGCAAGTTAAGGTTTTAAGTCAGGCAAAAGAAAGAGGGAAGGGGGAGAAGAACTTCAAGGCAGGATAAAAAGCCATCTTATACAGAATTTTTTAGCAATTACTTACAAAATCACATCATTTTGTAATCTTAATTACTACCTAAGAAGATAAATTGACTTCACAGATTTTTCTGGATTAGAATGTTTTTCTTCAGTAGTACAAGAAATCTAATATGTAACCATTTTAGCTATATATTTTCTCCTCATTTCAGCTACCTTAGGGAGAGCACTCAGCAAACATTTCAGAACTCAACTGTAGCTGAAATGGGAAGAAAATATATAGCTAAAATGGTTAGATTATTTTTATACTATGTCTGTATTTTATACAATTTTTGTGTGAAGGAACTTCTTCACTTTCTTTGCATGTCTTGGCATGGGGAAGAGAAGAGCAATTCTCTGCTACACCATTTTGGTTTTCAGCATAGGCATCATCTATGTAAAAAAAAAAAATAGGATGCAACCTATTCCAACCTGAATTGTGTCCCCCAAACTTCAAAAACCCTAGTACTTCAGAATATAACTATATTTGGAGATAAGTTCTTTGAAGAGACTGTTAGGATGGAGTACTAATCCAACATGTCTAATATTTCTTATAAGAGGAAGAAAAAACACTAGGGGCACGCCTTACATACAGAAAAGCCAAGTGAGACACAGGGAGAAACAGTCATCTATGAGCCAAGGAGAGAGGCCTCAGGCGAAACCAAACCTTTGGCATCTTATCTAGGACTTYAAGCCTCAAGGATTGAGAGAAGATAAATTTCTGTTGCTAAAGCCACCCAGTCTGTGATTCTTTGTTATAGCAGCTCTAGCAAACTAATATAACCCCACCATTATAATACTACCTTTTACCTCTTCTAATAGCATTCTACAGTTCAACAAGCCTTGAAGCTTCTTTGAAACACTAAAGTGTGTGTTTGTTGGTTGGTGATTGAGACGGATAGGAGAGAGATATGAATATGTAGACTCTGTCAAACATGTGTGCCTGATTCTTCTGATGTTCTGGGCATTAATCTATCAATTAATGGCTCCAGCATGTCTGGAGTTTGGCAGTATAATCAAGTATGTATATTAATCATTGCATTGTTCCTTCTCTGTGCACAGTAAAATACATTTTATGATTATATAAATCAATATGGAAACTAGATAGGAACCCACACTTTTGGTGGGGTGGTAGAGAGCAGTACTAAGGTTTGAACCCAGAGGCTCTTAACCACTAAGCTACATCCTCAGTCCTTTTTGATTTTGAGACAGGGGTTTGCTAAGTTGCTGAGGCTGGCCTTGAACTTGTGATCCTCCTGCCTCAGCCTCTGGAGTTGCTGGGATTATAGGCATTCACCAACATGCCCAGTAAGAATACATACTTCTAAGATTAAAAACTAACAATTAAAAACTAAAGAGAAGAATTGCTCTTCTCTTCCCCATGCCAGAAACATACAAAGATTGTTATTAAATGAAAAATATTTTTTGCAATAAAATTTACAATCAGAAATTTTAAAAAGCTTAGTCATTTATTTAAATTGTAAATGTTGCTACCATTCTTTCTTCCTTGTGATGTGACAGCAATATACATAGAAAATAATAATACAGCCTTTTTATTGTCACGTATGTACACAGAAAACTGCAATAGTCATAATCCTATAGCTGGATGAGTTACAGCTAATTTACATATTCCAAAAAACTCCAAAATTAAAAATAAAGTTTTATAGCATGCTATCACAGTAATGCACAGGGATCAAGGTTCAACTCTCAGCAGATCCTCAAAAATATATTTTCCTAGACTCTTCCTTCTTCCTCAGTTTTCACACTGATTCAGTCTCCAAATTCTGATAATCCTACTTCTGTTATAGCTCTTGACTTCTTCCCATTCTATTAATGCCATGTCAGTTTGCATTCTCATACCCTTTTGCTTGAGGTATTACAGCAACATGCCAATTAGTATGACTGGGTCCAGGCTTATCCCAACCAGTCCATTCTCTATAGCACTGTTTCTAGGATAAAAGCTAGTTTTCTGTTCTTAAAATTTTTTACTCCATTACAGATTGATTCTTTTGTGTAATATAATACAAATGAAATACTGATAGAAGTAATAAAGTATTTTATAGTATAGAAGTATTGAAGTGGTTTGCAGAGTGAGAATAGGTTCAGTTTTAGTAGCTATGGCCAAATAGCCTTGTGATTCTTCCAAAAATATTTGAAAGATTTTGGAGCCCAGATTTTATATAACATTTGGTATAAGAAACAGAAAATCACCTTGTCAATTTGCTAAAACTTTTGATTTGTGTATTTATCTCATCATGTTTTGGTAACAATGGCCTGGCACTGGCCTGCAGACTGTATATGAGTAGTCCTGCTTTGGATGCTTGTGTATGTTATAAGGAAATATTTTCAAGAGTAAACGGGATCACATCTATTTGCTTAAAATACCCCAATGACTTCTTTTTCCCTGTCTATAAAAGGCCCACATACCTTTGATGATTCTTTAGAATCTGACCCTTCTTTAACACTCATCTTCCCTGCATGTTCCAGCATCTCAACCAAATTCTTCATATGCTTTTGTGTTTTGCGTATACTGGTCCTTCATGATCTTCTACCATTTCATCTTTGTCTTTACACTAAATTCTGAGCTTGCTGAAGCCAGAGATGATGTCTACTTCATCACCATACCCCCAACACTTATCAAAGGGGACTGCACTCAGTGCTCAATCAAGGGTTTTCAATGATAGTTTGAGAGGGAAGACGGACAAAGATACTTTTACATGATTGTAACTAAGAAAACACAGTCAATAATTTATCTAGTATGATCCTAGGATAAATCCTCCATTCTTCACTTCATAGAATATTTTTCCTCTGTGACTTAGCTTCATGACTGAAGAATGAGATTCAGTTTTGCAAGCTGAAGGACATGTTCATTTTGAACCTCCATAAAAACCATCAAGAAAGGAATGAAACTCTCCTCCTATGCTTTATTGTAGTGTAATGCCTTTATGTATTGGTATTTCTCAGTTCAAAAACAAAGTATATCATACTTCAAGCCAAGCAAATGCATCCATTGATTGGTCTATATGTCCACAGGGAAACAGCAACAGCACTGCTGTTCCTATAGACCTTCCACAATGGAAAGGAACTGAATCAACATGTGGAAGTGGAGGGGGAAAAGGACTGAGTAAAAGCAGACCATTTTAATGTATACATCTATGCCTAAAAAAAAAAAAAGCCCCAAACTTAAAGTCTTTTATGCTGTTCCAACAACATAGATGTGACCTCATGAAAAACTTAAGTCATAGACTCTAATAGACATTGAGCAGACCAAAAATCAGCTAGTTTCAGGAGGATAAAACCCATTCAAATAAAGCCAATTAAAAAAAAAMCCCTAATGTACTATTGGAAAATGAAGTTTAAATTTTTCATTTGCAACTTTTCAAGGAAATAATGCAAAAAGGCAAAACTAACTGTGAAATAAAAAAATCTTACAAATCTTCCCTAGGAGTGAAGCAAGGTTCTGRTTATGAACACTTTGGGGCTAGAGATGCAACAAGTCACCCCTGCATTCTTTTTTCATAGAGCATGGCCAGATTGAGGTATTGCTCACTATCCTCCTAACTTCTCCCTCATGTCCCACATCAACTTCTACCCATCTCATTGGCTCTGTCCTACTTTACAGTCCCATTTTCTTGTCTGTTCCTTAAGTGTAGTCTGACTTCTTTCCCTGCCCTAGTCCTAGCATAGAACAGCAATGGTAAATATCTGATGGAGGAGTGATTCAACAAAAGAATGAACAAATGAAAGGATATCTCTCAGATAGCAAAAGGTCCCATGAGATATTATAGATTAACACAATATAGAGGTGTATACATATAACAAGTAGGAACACTGCCCACTGAATCCCAYTTCTTAATAGCTCAGAAGAACAGTTCATCCCCCTCTCTATATATCAGAGATAAATGAAACAATCCTATGATATCTGAGATGACTTCTTTAACTTATGGGTAAAAAAAGGGGGAAATCAAGCTACTTCAGTAATGAGTCACCCCAATGCTGAAAGGAAAGGAGGAAGCAAAGAAGGAAGGAGGAAGGGCTTCTCAAGCATGTGACATTGAACACAAAAGAAGTTCAGACAACAATCCAGGCAGACCTAAAGGATGCACAAAGCTTCCTATCTTCTGTTCCTTCCTAGTCCCACCACACAAACTTTTTGTGCCAATCAGTTGGTATTTCCTGTATATGGTTCTCTTTACATTTCTGGATGCCTTACTTAATGCCACAGTAGGAGTGGATGCTCCTCAAATACACTGTCTTATACTTGTCCCATTTTTCTCAGTATCCAGAAAAAAAATACTTTACCATAATTATTCTCTCCATCCAAACTGTCACCTTCTCCACCTGTACTGTTCAAATGCTATCTTTCAATCCTTTAAGACCCAGATCAAATGTTGCCTCTTCCAGTAAGCCTTCCTGATCCCCTCAACTAAAGTCAAAGCTCTCTGGATATTTAACTGTATTTTCTTTTGTAGCCCTTATTATTTTCTACTTTTCCCAAAGTTATTTGTATCTATGTATTAAATTATAAAGCCTAAACTCTTCTACCTCAACCTATCCAATCAGGATGTATGCACTGTAGGTAACAAGCTAAGTTTGTTCAATCATTAAAAATATCTCTTTCTAGAAAGGTGAACTAAGTAGCTTTCCTTCTCCCTTTTATTTCTTTTCTAAACACTCTGCATTCAGACATGTGAAACTGGAAAACACTTTCATAAAGAGCTTTATAATTCTGATTTGATTGAGAAAAAATACCTCCAAAGATGAAATATTTGGCTTTCCTTATGAATGTGGCATAACACCTTAATGGATCTGCCTTCCCTTGCTCTCTCCCACTGTGAGACTGACAACTAATAGGATTAGCAGTTCCATTCTAATAACCCAGCTTAGCTAAAGGCTGGCAAAAAAAAAAAAAAAAAAAATGACAGCCTCAATCTGAAGTACATGGCCTGGGAATCCATCCAATTATTAACTAGAGTAACTGTTATTACCTCTCCCAATCAAAGGAGAGGCAGCTGTTAATCTTTGGTGGCTTGCAAGGGCTGGTGGCCTTTGTATGTGACTTTTCTGTAGACAGTAATTATGTTCTTTGTGATTATGGAGGAAGGCCTCCCTAACCTTTTAGACAGAGGTGGCAGATGGGAAAAACTGTTTGCATGTTCATTAGCAGGATAGGCTAGATTTGTTCTGAGCATCTGTGGTACCTTAAGAACTGTTTAGAGATAATACAAGTGTTTTTGGCAAGTCCATAAATTTGCTACCCAGTAGTCCAATTTATAGATGGGGATCCTGGAGTAAAATTTTTTATGGTTCTGTTCCCCATATGGAAAACGTTCTTACCCTTAAAGGACATCATCCTATTCCTCTATTATTTTTCACCTGTAACATTAGTTTTAAAAGAAATAAGCACTTTTCTAGCTACTCTGGAGGCTGAGGCAGGAGGATGGTGAGTTAAGAGGCTTAATAGGTAACCCCCCCCCCCCAAAAAAAAAGGCAGAATGAACCGGTGGTCCTCTTTCTATTTTTCCTTTATAAGATTTGGATGCCAGCTTTATTGGCTTCTTCATATTTCCATAACCTACATAAATRTCTATGTTCAGTTATTCAGCTACAGGCAATAACACTTAAAGGACTCAGGTTCTGGGGCAAGGCTATCACAAGAATGAAATTATAAACTTGTGGGAACATGGTGCCAAAAGGAGTGAAATTATAAGCTACAGTTTAGGTAATATGGTAAGAGGACCTGAGAGTRCTGGAAAAGACTTCTCAAAAGATCAAAGGACCAATTCCTTTGTGATGCTAATTAGAGGTTGGACCCTTTGGAAAACTCTCCCACAAGGAGTGGGACTGTGTCATTTTTGACCCATTTGGAGTAAGGGAAGAGAGAGTAGGGTGAAAGAGGGTGATATAAAAATTGAAGGATAGAAGCAGGACATAAGTCTTGAATACTCTTTTGAAGTAGTTTTGAGATAGAGAATCAAAGGTTTGTAAGGAGTTCACTGCTACAATTGAACAAAACTCACATAAAGTACTTTTATTTTCCCTATCCTGAAGCTCTCCAAAGCTGTGTCATGCCCACAAGCTAGTGACTGACAGAATTAAAAATAAATGCAATACAGATTGATTAATACTATAATAAAGGAACAAAGAAGCTGCACGCATGTGGAAGACATAGTTCCTCTGAGTAGCTTTTTAGGACATAACTGGTATCAACATGATTTATTTTCAGAGCTATGATGATATGAAAAATTAGAAGACGAAGGACCCAAGTTAAGGATCTATATATGAGGTTTCCTGTACAATTTCTTTATCTTTCCATCTTTCCCAAATTCCAGGTTCACCACCCACTAGTTTACAGCAGGACCTGAGAAGTCTTAGCACAGCAGTTTCCTTCTTTCCTCGTCCTAGCATCTCAAGTGTCTTGACTGTCTCAAAGCTTGGAGGTAAAGCAAGTTTGAGATTATGAAACTGAAGAGAATTTGCTTTGGGCAAGGACAGATGAACCAGTAATATGTAAAAACTCTTCCAGGTCTAACAGCTTTCAGGGGGCTGGACCTTAGAGCTCAGAACTTTTCCTCAGAGATGACAGGGGAAAGGAAAAAAGTATTCCTATAGTACCCTGATTTCTCTCCATTATAACACTTGGGCTTCTTTACTGATTTTTCTATTWTTTAATTATAAACTAGATCATGCTAATTATCTATTTACTTAATTGCAAACTAGAGAATGAGTATTCTAACATCTGGTGCTATACCAGATTTAGCAAAAAAAAAAAAAAAAAGCAAGTATTCAATGTTCACTGAATTGAAGAATTAAGGTACAGTCTAATTTCTGACACTCTGACATCAGAAATTCCATAAGAGGAAAGCCCATCAACTCATGATGGGGGTGGTGTCTAGAAACACCATGTGCTTGAGAAAGTCAATGTAGGAGTACAGGTAAGTTAGAAACTGTGGAAGGGGCTACTGTCCTACTTGTCTGGGCTGACAAGTGAACGCTGACCCTAGTATTAGGCCTGCTTGAAGGGGATAAGCCCAGAAAGGGAGGCCAGAGACAGGAAGGTCAACTGCAGGGCCTTTGCCAACCATCTTTGCTTACATCCTGCCTTATTCATCTTGGCACTAGCTCTTTTGTCCTATTCTCAGGAAAAGTAGAAAGCCAGGTCCTCCTATATACTTAAGGAAGGAGGGAAAGCACAGTTTTAAGAAGTAGAAACAAATTTATGGTGAGAAAAAGAACCCAAATTTTACTTTCTCAGAGTTCCAGCCTTGAGGGCTACTGAGAGCAACATTTCAGGGTCTATCATGTGGCAGGCCCCAGGCTGTTCTCTCACACTTTCTCACGATAATTCGATAATTCGAGACAGGAGGCAGGAATTGATATTCCTTTCACACAATAAAGAAAACTAATCTTAGAGGAATCAGTTAATTGCTCAAATTAACACAGCCAGCAGAGGCAGRGCTGGGAATGTGAGTCTAGCTTTAWCTGACTTC